AACAAAATGAAAATAAATAAGAAAAGAACAAAAGCAAAAACGTGGGTTGCCTCCCACGAAGCGCTCGGTTTAAAGTCGTGAGCTCGACTTTTCCGTCAATTCATAGTCAACCAGGCACGGTTTGACGAGCTCCTACAACCTCATCATGCTCGTCAAAGAAAACATTCGCCCATTTACTCTTCGGGGGCACCGGAAAATTCTTCTTCAACTCATCATTAAAATTCACCCCTCTCGGTTTCGCACTTTCACCATTTAACTTCTTTTTCGCCCCTTTCTTGCCCGGTTTCGAACCATTCCCCTTTCCAACAAATGCCGACCCAACTACCTTCTTCTTCTCACCAACACCATTGCGATTAACAAAATTAAAAAGGGAATCGGGATGTACCATTTTGTCGATGTCGTCCATAAATGAGCATTGACCAACTTTGGGTTGAGCTTCTCGAGCATTGTTCATCGTGAATGTAACCGTCTCTCCATGAGCCGAAAGGGTGACTCGTCCATCCTTGATGTCAATAATGGTGTTGGTCGTTGCCATGAAAGGTCGTCCAAGCAAAATTGTGTGCTCCTTCCTGGTATTCGGGACATCTCCCACGTCAAGGACCACAAAATCCACCGGCACAACAATAGACCCAACTTTGACCAACACATCCTCAATTATGCCCTTCGGTTCCCTCAATGTACGATCCGCTAGTTGTAGACACATCCTTGTCGGTTTTAGCCCTTGCAATCCCAATTGTTTGTAAATCGAGTAGGGCATGAGATTGATACCGGCCCCCAAATCAAGCATCCCGGTCGTCGTCTTACCATTTTCAAAGGCTATTCTCATCATAAAAGCTCCCGGATCGCACTCTTTCCGAGGTATAGTGGTAGAGGCTACCTCGAAAATCATGACTTTCTCATTGTCCTCAAACCTCCTCTTTTTCGATGCTAAGTCCTTGAAAAATTGCACATATGCCGGAACATTCTTGATAACATCTAAGAGTGGGAGATTGACGTTTACCTTCGAGAGCATGTTGAAAAGGTTCTTGAATTGACGATCCTTCTTCGTATTTTCCAAACGGCTCGGGTAGGGAACCGACGACTTATAAGGTGTAGCCGACTTGTGTAAACCCTCATGTGTATCCATCTTCGTCTTCCCCTTCTCAATCCCCTCATCAACAATTGCCTTACCCTTCGAGACCTCAACCTCCTCAATGGGTTCTTCCTCATCCTCGACAAGAGTCTCCTCCCCCTCATTCTCCCTAGGCATTTCCACACGATTATCAACTTGCCTACCACTCCTCAACACCGAGATAGCATTGACGTGCTCGGGTTGGCTCGGGAGCTTGTCTTTCATCTTACTCCTTTGCATCTCACCGAGTGAAGTCCCGAGTTGCCCCACTTGAGTCTCGAGGCATTTGAGGGAAGCTTGGATTGAAGGTACGCCCTTAACCGCATCATGGAGAGTGGACACGGTCGATGCAAGGCTTTGAAGGTACTTCTCCATATTGTCGATGCGAACGTCCGAGGGATTCTCCTTAGTCTCATTTTCGGGCTCCGGTTGAGGTGGCATTGGTTGCCTTGGAACAAATCCTCCTCGTGGTTGTTGGAATCCTTGGAATTCGGGCCTCGGTTGGTAGCCTTGGAATTCGGGTCTCGGTTGATATGGTCGGTTTTGAAGAGGTGCGTAGGCTTGAGGTGGTGCATAGGCTTGAGGTGGTGCCGGTTGAGGTGGATAGTTTGTCTTCGGGTCCCTCCAAGAGAAATTAGGGTGATTCCTCCACCCGGCATTGTAGGTGTTCGAATATGGATCATTTTGAGCTCGGGGGGCATACCCTTGCACGGCATTAACATCAAAAGGGACCGTCACAACATTCGGGTCGTAAACCGGCTCCATATAACGTGGACACTCATGGCCTCCATGCCCCATTTCTCCACAACAACCACACACCTCCGCCATAACTACTTGAGTCGACTTGGCATCACGTAGACGAAGGTGTTTGAGCTCCTCCTCCAATGAGGCTAACTTAGCCAACACGGCATCATTAGTCGACCCGGACGATTGTGTAGCCTCATTCACGGGAGCCCTCTTGCGTACACTTTTCCGTTGGGAATTTTCGCTCAACATCTCATACAAGTCATATATCTCCTCGGCCGTGTGACTCCCGATATCTCCCCCGGCCGCATGGTCCATCATGTATTGGAGGGTTTGGTAGAGCCCATCATAGAAGAATTGATTCAACACACCCAAGCAAAAGTGATGATGTGGGCATTGGAGTTGATAGCCCTTGAAACGCTCCCATGCTTCGTGGAAGGTCTCGCCCGGGTTTTGGCTAAAGCTAGCCATTTGTGCTCGGAGATCGGTTGTCTTTTGATGCGAATAGTACTTGCCCATGAACTTCTCGTAGACGGCTTCCCACGTGTTGAGTGAGTTCGGAAGCAATGTCATGAACCAAGTCTTGGCCCGATCTTTCAAGGTATAGGGAAAACATCTCATACGAAGTTGGTTTTCGGTTAAGCCTTGGAGAGGGAAAGTGTTGACCGTGGAGTAAAAGTCTCGGATGAAATTGAGGGCATCTTCTTGTGCAAGGCCATAAAATGAGGGAAGTTGGTTGAGGTGGATCGTCTTGAGGTCA